TAGAATTCATGAGTATTAAGGTAATGAAGATAATTTTCTCATCAATAAATAAAACAAAATAGAAAATAAAACTCAAACAGTAGTTATATAATTCATCATGAAAGACAAAGAAACAGAAGTTCATTTTAAGCAAATTTTCTTTTCTCTTTTATGGCAAGGATAATAAGAGGCAATCTTCATTTTAGTGTGTCCATTATAATTATCAGGAACAGAGTGAGGAAGAGCAAAGACTGTATCACATAGGGTTCTCCCATCACATCTCCTATCATCTGCCACTGGTAAAAATATACGCAAGTTAAAGTAATTAAATTGACACATGAAAATCATGTGAAATGTCACAAATGAAAGAAAAGAAATCAAAAGCAGAGTCAGGTTATAAGGACTCTGCTTAGTATATTTTCAAGGTGTGTGGAGAGTCATGCTTGTCCATTGCTGACCAAAGTTCTTAGATAGTGACCATTTGTAAGACATGTGTATGGAAAATAATGTTAGGAAGACACAATAAAATAAGGGCATTTTTGTAAAGATAAGATGACAAATACATTCCAAAGCATAAATCCTGGGCTCCTATTTTGAGTATCTATTCTGGGTTTGCTCAGTGAAGGACTTATAAGATGAAGGGTGAAATAAATCCTTTCCTCCCCCATTTGCTTTAGGTGATAGTGTTTTATCACAATAATAGTAACCTTAAGTAATACAAAAGTTATGTGTTTTTGGATAGGATTTTGATTCACATAGATTGGGTACGTTTCACGTGCTCTAACAGTAAAATATGCTGTGTTTCTCTAAATGAAGTGGTAGATTTTCAGTTAGCAAAAATATCTTCTGTGTTGCAAAATGTCAGCATGCTACATATCACCATGTTTAATCAACTTTCATTTGTAATTTAACTTTTATATTATCATGCAGACACGTAAAATGTCAAACAGTAATAGAATAGAACCAAATTCGAAAAGGAGTAAAAGCTGTTCTAAGAGATTCCTCACTCTATATTCATGCATACAAACACAGACATGCATACAATAAAGAGATACAAGAAATCTGAAAATGGTTGCAAGCTGCTAATTGGGTCCTGGATTTCGTGACATTTGTGTTACCTAATAAGTATCCTCGGGATGGTCTCAGATTTCAATGTGGCTCCCAACTTTTTTGATTTGTCACTGAATGATGTCTATAATTATTTCCTCTTTGGGGGCTTTAGCGTGATGCTATCTCACATGGAAGTCTTGTTTCCATGATGGTACCCCAAGTGAATATCTATTTATTACTATAGAACTTTAAAGACAAACACTAGGGTATGCCTACTTATTAGATATGACAATAGAACATTAAACCACAAAAAATGTTAATAAATACCTATACTGTCTTTAAGTTAGTTTTCTGCTAACTGGAGTATTTGAACTAATTCCTCAGGGAATCTCTTTTTGACCCCTTGAAAAGTATGGCATAGCCAGGTAGAAGGAGCTCCATCTACCAAAAAGGAGTTAAGGGGAAGTGGCTCTTTCAGTAAACAACAGATGGAGGAAAATATTCTATTAGCAACACCCTTAGACTGAGCAAAGAAGTGAAAAGGAATGTTAGCACAGCTAATTGGAAAAGAATCTAGTAGTTTTGTATTATAGATGCTGGGTTACATGACAGAAAGATTGGTCTTTGAGTGGGATTTGGAGTCTATTCATATTTCATGTACCTGTCTTATAATGCATCTGTTGGAATTCAGCCAATCCCATTGCCTCTCTCCTGTGTAGTCTACTGCAGTATAAATCATATGAGTACCTTTCTCTTAGCCTTATTGCATGCTTTACAATAAGAGTAAATGTCTCAGGCTCCCAGAGAAAAGGGGCATTGCATTGTGTTCTGCAACACTTAAAGCAATTTCATATACATCCTCTATGAATACCCATCCAGTAATGACTTCTGCTTCAGAGTGTGGGCATTCAGAAGTAGTATTGCTGCCCACATGTATGCCCGATATACTCAGTCAACTGAGTGATTTGATATACCTGCACTGTATGTATTTTTGGAAATCCTTAGGTCTTAGTTACTTTTGCTGTAAAGAAAGGACATGACCAAGGCAATTTATAAAAGAAAGTGTGTAACTAGAGAATCTTTACAATTTCAGAGGGTAAATCCATGATCATCATGGTGGAGAATACAGCAGCACACAGGTAGGCATGGTCCTGTAGAAGTAGCTAAGAACTTATGTCTGATTCGTAGGCATGCGGTAGAGAGAGAGGGTTAACTGGGAATGGCATGGGTTTTAGACACCTCAAAGTCCAACTTCAGTGACACACCTCCTCCAACTAAGCCACACCTCCTTCAACTAAGCCACACCTCCTTCAACTAGGCCACATCTCCTCCACCAATGCCACAACTCTTCCAAGGCCAAGCCTCCAAATCCTTCCCAAACAGTTCCAACAACTGAGGATAAGACATTCAAACATATGAGCCATTTTCATTCAAACTATGACAACTTAGTATAAAACAAAATTAAAAGACTTTACAAACCTGAGAGCAATCTTAAATAGCTCTAACAAGGTTTTGTTAAACTTTGCTTGTGCCTTTGTGGTTTCTGAGAATCAGTGTGTTCAGTTAGTTTTCATTAGATTTTTCCAGCCTCTGTCAAGTAATTAAAAAGTAATATGTGACTCTCATGTAGTGGCACACACTTGTAATCCCTGCACTTGGGGAGGCAGAGGCAGGTGGAGCTCTGTGAGTTCAAGTTCAGGACAACTAAGGCTACACAGAGAAACCCTGTCTCAAAAAAATAATATGTGAATACAATACCTGCTTCAATACCTCTGTGGAAGGCTCCTGTCCTGTTCCCTGTATCTTGCTTCCGATGTATTTAGTTTGCTCTACAAATTTCTTTACTTTTTCCCAAGGTCTCACTACTTGGCCTGAGCTAGCTTCAAACTCACAATTCTGCTTCAGCCTCTCAAGCACTGAAATTATAGGCATGTGTCATCATAGCCAGCCACACACTTTATAAATATGTCAAATCTGTTTATTGCTGTACTGTTGTCTTCAAGAATAACCATAGTGTTAAAAAACTAGGACAGCTCCAAGATTTACTAGAACAAAATTCAGTGTAAAGAAATGCCACAATAACCTAGTTTACCACAGAAATGCCACAAATGTAGAATTTTGAATTTAAGAGATAAATTTGAATTTCAAATAAACTTACATTTTACCATATCTGTAATGGAATAGTTCATAATTTCTTACAAATATGCACATAAATAATCTTAGGTAAAAATGTTCAGTGTATGATAAATTAAGTTTAAGGAATGTTGATGAATAAAACAAAAGCTGGGCATTTTGCCACACATCTGTAAACTCAGCACTTAGAGGCAGAGTCAGAGGAATAGAAAGTATAGGTCAACCTGGCCTACATCATGAGCTCTAGGCCAGTCATTGCTACATGGAGAGACTCTTTAAAAGCAACCAATCAGACAGCTAAACAGACTAACTGAAGCAATAACAGGCAATTGCTTAAAATTGTTATAAATCATTTTATGACTACTCAAATGAAAGAAACCAAGAAGAATCAACAAATATGCAGCTTTGAAATACTTTTCCCCTCACATATGGTCTATCGTTTTTCTTTCTAATAAGACTACATTTATTGAGACTCATACTCCAACCAAGGACTATTCATGGAGATAACCTAGAACCCCTGCACAGATGTAGCCCATGGCAGTTCAGTGTCCAAGTGGGTTACATAGTAATGGGAAGAGGGACTACCTCTGACATAATCTGATTGGCCTGCTTGTTGATCACCTCCCCCTGAGGGGGGAGCAGCCTTACCAGGCCACAGTAGAGGACAATGCAGCCACTTTTGATGAGAACTGATAGACTAAGATCAGAAAGGAGAGGAGAACCTCCCCTATCAGTGGACTTGGGTAGGGGCATGCATGCAGAAGGGGGGGAGGGTGGGATCAGGAGGGGAGGAGAGAGGGGCTTATGGGGGGATACAAAATGAATAAAGTGTCATTAATAAAAAAAATAAGAAAAGACTACATTTATTCAATACCTTAGATTAAAAGTTTTGATTATAAGTATCCAACAGTATAAAAAGTACAAAACAGATCATGATTACATACTGTACAATCTAAGGGAAGAGAGGGGAGGCAGAGAAGGCTGTAGTTGAGGTCTAGTGATAAATACATACATACGTACATATATACAAACTAGAGATGATGCCTCAAAGTATATTTTACCACCAAAACTGCTTTCAAAATGTACAAAAGAAAAAAAAAAAGAAACCCATGCCAAAGTAACACAGGAAAGTGGTAATGTCTGGACACCGTACTACACCAAGGGCTCAGGAGAACCAACCTACTCACTGGGCAGTCTGTGATTGTGATGGCTTGTAACAGGTAGATTTTTCCCAAAAGGAAGAAACACACAAGGTAAAGCTATAGAAGCAATAAAGTGTGGCTCTCCCTATTGTGAAACACGAAGAGACTTTCAAGATCCAGTTTTTAAAACAATCCTGAGAGACAGAATGTTAAGGCTGCCACGTACCCCTCTTTTACGGGAGGTATGAAGTGGCGCTATTGTTTTCCTGAGCTTTGAGAGAGGCCATCAGACTTCATCTGAACATCAACTTGAGTTCTCCCGGAAGCCCTCACTGAGGTCTAGAGGTGAGCAGCTCCATTCAGCTCTCTTGAAGCTCAGAAGCCCAAATCCAAGAAGACAACCCAACCAACCAGCTTAGCCTTATACAACTCTTTTCTGCTAGTCAACTTTAAATAGTGAGAGAAAAACAGCCAAACCCCAAGCTCTAATAAGGTTATGACAAGGCAAGGAGCCACTCCGTAAATAAAACCGAGAAGCCTGAGGACCAGGGGCCAGTGCCTCTGCCCGTCTCCACTCAGGAGTGGGGACTGACGTTAACAAAGAAGGGAACAAACAGTGATTTAAACTTTGAAAAGACCACAAGACAACAAACTGACCCTCTTAGTTTTAACTTGGGTACATACGGCCTACCTTACCTCTACTACCAGTTGCTGGAGAGATGGAGAGGCTACCGGATACAGGCTGGAGTTGCCCCGGATGGGACTATGGAGGCTAATGTAAGCCACAGCATTTTTTTGTAGAATCTTCGCAATATTCTGAAATAATAATAATAATAAAAGTTGGAAGCTCTATCATTGGTACAATTAAAAATAACACATTCTACTTTTTTTTTTAGAACAACAAACACCGTGATGTGAAAATATGACTTTTTATCAGCAACATGCTGCTAACGCTTCCTCTATAAGTGAAATCTTCCTCTAATCTTGGTTTACTCTGTTATGCAGAATCAAACAGCTGCTAAGGCAGTGCTTTATAAAACAACCACTTGGAGGGTTAAAGTAATGCTGCCTTCAATTACAGAACACAAATTGGGAATTTTCTTTGATGACATTGCCTAATGTAATAGTCAGTGAGTAAGAGAGCAGAACCGGTGAGCTTCACTGGTTAGTGCTGACAGGCTTTGCCTCTCAGGAAGTCAGCTAATTTTGCACAAATAAACTCTGATTTTGAGGAAAACTGGACAAATTCAAACTGTGAACCTGAAAATACTGCCTTGTAAACCCCTCGTGAATGCTGTGTGCACTACTGACGGATAATTCAGTGGTTTAGCTTTGCATTTATGACTGCTCTCCTGCATTTTGGAGCTTGCTGACCACAGAGTACAGGGTCGTATGTCCTCGGCTTATCTGCTTAAAGTTGGACATTCCTCTACAAACTGTTGACAGAAATGAGTAATTATTTAAAAGTAAATCACCTTTAAATGAACACACGACTAATTAAAAAAAAAAACCAAGTAATTTCACATATAATGTGGTAAAATGTCAACTATAATTTAAACTCTATGAAAAAAATATTTTAACACATGAGTACATAGGAACTTGCTCTATCAGTTAATGTGATTTCCATGATCACGGCAAAAAACAGACAGTCACATAGTTATGTGAGGAATCTAGTCTCAGAGAGGTCTTTGTTAAAATAACGTGTCTATGGTAGAAAAGATCTGAACTTTGATTTCCTTACTCTGAAATTTGTAATATCTCGAGAGGAGCATGTGAAAAATATTCTTCACAAAAGGAATGGTACTTTATAGGAGTCTGCTTTAGGAAATGGTATAATTTCCCTCAAGGATCAACATCAACACTGAGTCGATTCTCTATAACTTGCATGGCTAAAAGTACAATTTACAAGTTTATTGAGGAACTTCAACTATTCCTGTTAACTTCAACTGGGCTTCTAGGACTTCCTATGGAAGCAAATTATAGAGGGCAAAAAGGGACTCAAACAAAGCTTTTCTTGCTCCCATCCACTTGGTATCAATTTAAAAGGAAGTTTTTCATTCTCAGAAGGCACAGATTGAATAAAAGAAAAAAAAATGAGCAACTGAAGTTCTAAATTTCCCTTCAAATGAATGGTGTTGTGATGTTTTATGGGATACAGTGGTGCAATCTATTATATAGAAAATTACAGATACATTTCTATTAGCCAATAGTGACCTCTCAATATCCTTGATCATTTTCATTACTTCTGTCTTTGTGCATTTCCTTAGCTAAGAAGTCAGATGGTAACTATATGAGTAAATTTGCTCAGTTTTTAACACATATACATACAAGAGACGGACCTACATATATGTAAACATTATATTTATATACACACACATATATATATTATATATACATATATATTTAATTGCAATATAATTATATCATATTTCTCCCTCATTCATCTCTCCACCTCTCCCAGGTACTGTACTGCAAACCCTTCCTTAACCCTAATCCACTTAGGTTTAAGCCTTAAGTTTCTACAGTCTGAAGTGTCATTGAATATTGCTCCACAGATATACAGACACACAGTCACACACACATATGGACAAATACATAAATACAACCTGTTGAGTCTATTTTGGTGTTTTTGTGTGTACAAGTTTTCTATTCTTTTGGACTAATATTCCATAGTAGGTTTCATATTTAATCTCTGTTGAAAGACCAAAGTTGTCAAAATGAATAACGGGTTTACAAAATAATTAAAAGTAATTTACTTCTATGAGGCAAAAAAATATTTACCTAGTTTGAAAAAAATGCTAACATATATGCAAATCCATATTTATTTAATTTTCAGTCTGTGAAAACTGACATTTAAATGCTCTCAACTAATTTTTCACAATATAATTCTCTCTGAATTTGAGTTTAAGTTATTTAACTTAGGAAATTATGTGAGAAAAAACTGTTCCGTGAATGTGATTTATACATAGTTATTCATTAAATATTAATATAAATTGATTGTGAAAGTTGTAGATATAATAGAGGCTGTTTAAAACATCCTTCAAGATATTTCCTTAACATATACTAGAAAATTTTATGAAAGAAGAAGGAGATAGAAAGACCTGGAGTAGACAGGAACTCCAAAAGAAAACCAACAGAGCCAAAAACTGCTGAACCCTGGGGCTCTGAATATAATGATACCCCAGCCAAGTACAATGTATGGAGATAACCTAGAATCCCAGCATAGATGTAGTCCATGACATCTCAGTGTCCAAGTAGGTTCCCTAGTAAAGGGAACAGGGACTGTCTTTGGCATGAATTCAGTAGCAGGCTCTCTGATCACCTCCCCCTGGGGAGTGCAGCCTTACCAGGCCACAGAGGAAGACAATGCAGCCAGTCCTGATGAGACTTGATAGGCTGGGGTCAGATGGAAGAGTAAGGGGACCTCCACTATCAGTGGACTGTGGCAGGAGCGCAGGGGGAGAGAAGGGAGAGTGGGTGGTATTTAGAGGAGATGAGGAAGGGGGCCACAACAGGGATGCAAATTGAATAAATTGAAATAAATGTTAAAAAAAAGATAATTGAATTACCGTTTCACTGCTTTGTAATTATTTTAAAAAGCACATCTCTAGTAGCATGCACATAACTTCTTAAATTGTTGTACTTATCTTGAAGTTATGAAATAAACTAACTTTCTTTCAGATGCCACTGTTTTTCATCCTGAAATTTAGGAAAGTTCTCAAGGCAATCGGCTTTTCTCACTTGAAGTGAACTTTCTGAAAAAGACTGTCTCACCACTCACTTCCATACAGTGTATTGCCTCATCTGTTGAATTACGTACATGGACATTTTCTCAGCTTTAAGACTATGTACCATTAAAAGAATACATAGGGCTCCTCTTTTTTTTTTTTCTTTTCTTTTTGGGTTTCTCTTTTTTAATTTATTTTAGTCTCTGTATACTTAAGTTTGTATGTGGTCTGTCATATAAGTATTGTGAACAAACTCAGTCCTCTGAAAAAGCAGGAAGTTCTGTTAACCACCGAGCCATCTTTCTAACTCCATTATTTTATTTTCTAAGCCTCATTGACATTTTCCCTAATCACCATCAGCATCTTATCTCTCTTGAGGACCTAAAAAAGAATTATCACCATAAATTCCCATTAATTATATTTTTCCTGAAAGCTAAGATAGTGAACGAATGGTATTCCATTCAAAACTGCATAGATGTTTTGTCTACATATTTGCTTTGAGTCTTTTTTCAAGTAATTATAAAATTATCTAAATTATGTGAGAATTTTGCAGTGCTCACAATCTTGTTAGTGTATCCTTAGATATTGACTGTCACATTCTGCTAGAATATTGTCTTTCTGACACACATACATACTGAGATTGTTTCAATTCAAATACTGTAATTGCTTACTAACTATATCTCAATGCTGGATGAAGATTCAAGTTCTTGATGGAAGGTAGGTAAGTAGGCAGGAAAGCTGGGCAAGAGACATAGGAATGAAAGAATAGAAGGAAGAAAGGTAGGACAACAATCAATATTTGAATAAAATTTCTCATTGCATAGTTAAAATAAATGTCATTTATTTTATAACTGCTAATAAGTGCTTAGTAAACACAGGAAATCTGTAATTGTGTGTATAAACATGTTTTCCCTGTTTTTCATTGCCTAGTATGTTATCCCTTAAGTAGAATGAAGTAACCATTATTGCAAGTGATATGCGTGTATGTAGGCCTTTTAGCAATGGAGTGACATTAGCTTTATAGCTCTTTGGAGGAGCTCATTATTTTCTTTGCCTTCAATAATATTGGCTAATAGTATATGGAATATGAAAGAATGGAAAAAAGAAAAGAAGTATAATTAATGAATTTATTTCACCTCTCCCCATTCATAGGAGCCAATATTGCCCCAAGTCGTTCCTCCCCATGAACAGAAAACAATAGTACGTTCTGGCCTCCATCCTTTCTTCACTTTTATCATCAAGGCTTGGATAAATGTTGTGATTACTGCAGTACTGCTGGCCCATTCTTGTCCATTATAACTGTATTCAGAATGATGGTTGCTGCCAACTATAACATACCGGTCTGGAAATAGAATGAAATAAGAGCCATTAAAAAAATGTAAATCTCAACAATAAATTTAATGACATTTACATAATCCTATTGCACGAGTAAGCAGCAATTAAGCCAAATTGTTCTAATATTAATACCACGTTAACATTTTCCTCCCTCTGCCTTGATTCACACATCTGGGTTTATCAATGCAGAAGCAGCTGCTAAAGCCAATTATGAATTCAAAGCTTAGGTCCATATTACTGTCCTTTGCAACATGAATTTTAATTAATGAAGTATACGAATATACCACAATGAAACTCTTACCTAACATTTTTTTCCAGAATCATGGTAGAAAGTGTTCAGTAAACAGTACATGTGGGCTTAGCAAATAGCAGTGAGCTATTATTCTGAAAGAGAAGTGACTGAGGAGCTGAGTATGTTAAAAATGTGCTAGTCGTGTATTGTTTAGACTTTGCAAAAATATGTGTTTAGGGATATATCTATAATTTTAATTTAGACTTCTAACTTCCCCATTCTCTGAAAGAAAATAAAATTCACCAAAATCAATCCATGACCATGACTACTGAATATTTCACTTTTCACATATTTGATATATTATGGGCATAAACATTTCCTTTGATACTCCCACATGCTGGAGAGGTGGAGAAAGGGGAACCCTCCTCCATTGCTGGTGGGGATGTAAACTGGTACAACCACTTTGGAAGTTAATCTGGCGTTTTCTCATACCGTTAGGAATAGTGCTTCCTCAAGACCCAGCTATACCACTCCTAGGTATATACCCAAAACTTGCTCAAGTACACAACAAGGACATTTGCTCAACTATGATTGTAGCAGCTTTATTTGTAATAGCCAGAACCTGGAAACAACCCAGATGTCCATCAACGGAAGAATGGATACAGAAATTGTGGTATTTTTATACAATGGAATACTACTCAGCAACCAAAAACAAGGAAATGATGAAATTTGCAGGCAAATGGTGGGATCTAGAAAAGATCATTTTGAGTAAAGTATCCCAGAAGGAGAAAGACAACATGGTATATATTCGCTTATATAGACCTATAAGATAATCATTTATAATTTTCATTATGATAGACATAATGAAATCTATACACCTAAAGAAGATAAACAAGAAAGAGGACATGGGGTAAGATGATCAGGTCTCACATAGAAAGACAAATGGGACAAATGGGATATGCATTGGACATAGGACAGGAGCATACCATAGAGGGCCTCTGAAAGACTCTTCCTAGCAGTGTTTCAAAGCAGATACTAAGACTCATAACCAAACCTTCGGCAGAGTGCAGGAAATCATATGAAAGAAGGGGAGTTAGTATGATATGGAAAGGATAGGAGCTCCACAAGGACCAAATATATTTCGGCACAGGGGTCTTTTCTGAGACTGACACTCCACCAAGGACCATGTACGGATATAACCTAGAACCTCTGCTTGGATGTAGCCCATGATAGCTCAGTAACCAATTGGTTTCCTGTAGTAAGGGGAAAAGGAACTATTTCTGACAGGAACTCAAGGGCAGGCTCTTTGACCTATCTACCCTCCAAGGGAGGAGCAGTCCTGCTAGGCCACAGAGGAAGACTTTGCAGCCATTCCTGATGATAACTGATAAAACAGGGTCAGTTGAAAGGGAAGGTGGTCCTCCCCAATCAGTGGACTTGGAAAGGGGCAGGGAGGAGATGAGGGAGGGAGGGTGGGACTAGGAGGGAATGAGGGAGCAGGATACAGCTGGGATACAGAGTTAATAAAATGTAACTAATAATAAAAAAAACCATTAAATTAAATTAAAAAAAAAAGAAAACTTGCCATGATTCATGGATATGGTCCTTTCACTGTGCTTCCCTATTTATTCTTACCATTAAAATAGAATCAAATGTAGCTCCAGAGACTATCTTTGCCTTTTTTTTTTTATCACGTTATTCACAATAGCAACCAAGGTTATTTTATTAACCTTGGTAATGCATAGGGTAAAGTAGCCCTATGCGTTTACTTAAAGAGAAATCTCCTAATTGTTTTATATGAGGTGTTCCATGTAACTACACAGGCAGCGAGATGGAACAGTGGGCATTGGGACCTGCTGTCAAGACTGATGACTCCAGTGTGATTGTGAGACCCACATGGTAAAAGGAGAGACATGGCACCTGAAAATTGTCCTCTGATATCCATATCCAAGCAGTGATACCCTTCCCATATTAAGTACACAAGAACAGTATCTGACATAAAGTAGGTCCTACATCTATATGAAATAAATGAAGGATCCCTTGACTACATAAAGGTAAAGATTGCTATAAGGATTATAATGGCATGGAAACATTAAATTTCCAATACTGAATTAGAACCCACAATTAATTTAATCTTCAAACACTTTTCAAAGATTATCTATAATGGAATATGGGACTGTATGCAATATTATATTGTTATATATTCAAACATTAAATGCTTGGACATTTTTTTTTTTTTACTCATCTCCCAGAAATGTCTAAAAGTTCTGCTTTAGTTGGGCTATATCCTAAATAAATTAACAACCAACATCTGTTTCTGGGTTTTTTAACATTAGTAAATAATACATCTTGTGAATAAGCAACCTTTTATTTTATTTTTTTAACAGAATTCAAATTAAGCAATGTTTGGGTTTTTTTCAGGAATTTTTTTTGTAGGTTTAAATTCCTTTAGCATGAATTCAGTATTGAACAACTGTATTTTCTTTAATGAGTTACAAATTGAACAGAGATAATTAATATTCTCATACTTCGTTTGGAATTTATATAATGAATTCCAAAGACCTCTGCAAAGGCCCAGGGGTCTTTTCAGAGACCAATACTCCAACCAAGGACCATGCATGGAGAGGACCTCGAATCCCTGCTCAGATGTAGCCCATGGCAGTCTCCAAGTGGTCCCCCTACTAAGGGGAACAGTGGCTGGCTCTTTGATCACTAACCTTGAGGGTTGCAGCCTTTCCAAGCCACAGGGGAAGAAGATCCAACCCCACCTGATGAGACGTGATAGGCTAAAGTCAGATGAATGGGGAGGAGGACCTCCACTATCAGTGGAGGGGGATACTATCACTAGTATCCCCTATCTATCACTAGACCTCCACTATCAGGGGAGGGGCATAGGCAGAGAAGAGAGAGGGTAGGTGGAACTGGGAGGAGCCGAGGGAGGGGGCCACAGCCAGGATATAAAGTGAATAAATTGTAATAAATAATAATAAAATAAGATATTAAAGGAAGAAAGCCACATATATGGGTGAGATGCAAACATATGGTTTTCCAAGTTAAATGTGTCCATGTCTAAGGATGCTGTGGTGACAGGTTGTACAATAAAGGAACCATGGAGAGAAAGTACATTGCATAAAATTTTTAAGAGTTGACTGTCAAGGAATAGGGAGGAAATAAAACTTGATTTCAAAAATTCTCTTGGTCAGCAATTAGGTCAATTTAACTAGTGCCATTGGGAAGAATAATCCTCCAAGGAGAAATTGAATAAGTGTCCCAGTCATATCCGCAGAAGTGGTTTGAGTGCAATAAAACCTTAATGGTGCTCTGGGGATGGCAGATTGGCTGAGTGAGTTAAAGTCGTTAGCCCACAAGCTTAAGGATCTGGTCTCAACCTCCGGAACCTGTGATGGAAGAAGGACACTAATTCCTGAAAGTTTTCCTCTGACGTCCATATACCCACCATGATACTGCCATGCTCATGCTCTCTCTCACATACATATACAATAAATTAATAATTTATTAAAATAAAACAGTCGCAAATTCTGTATATGTAAGACTTTGTAATCCAGCCTTGTCATGAGTAAGAGATTGCTGTCATGAGAATGTTAACTGATGCATGTATCAAGTATTATTACTTTTAATTTTTAGACTGAAGATTCCATTAGCAGTTCATAAGAACATGTAAATTATTTAACATCTAACCAGATACTCAATTAAATAACAGACTATTGCAACAGAAACATAGAGGCACTGGGAAAAAGTATCGTGGATAATATAGTCAAACCGGGGCAGAGATTAACAATAGAAATTTTTGTTTTGAGACAAAAATTTGATTGGGTTTTCAAAAACTGCATCATTAAAACATATGATATTTTCTTTTAAAGAATTTTTCATTAAATTAAAAAATTCTATTATATCATGGTAAAAAAATTTTACAAAAGCCCATTATTTCCATATCAAGTTAACACAAACATAAACTCTATTTGTGTCTCCTTTCCCTGACCTTTACAATACTATATCTGCTAATGCTTATTTTGGATGAGATACTGTATTAATAAAACCCAAACTTTCATATCAATTCATTTTTTTTAGCCATCTAAACCTCTAGTGACATATGAAGTAGGATATTGAGCCCCATTTTGTAATTTTATGGAATACAGAAACCTTTTGGTTGTCTCATATGAATTACAAACTAGATTATAATTACCTTACTCCACTTACCTGGTGATGTCAAACCTTTCAGATAGCCAACAACATTAAACACTGTCTTAAATTTTGTGACTGTCTGCACTTGCAAACTGACAGTTCTTTTTTCTGTAAAAAAAGAAATTAAAAAAAATTATCTATACTGTATAGTGTATCTCTCAAACATTAGAAGTTGTTTATCTAGCATCATCAGCAAAATGATTCCACAAGATTTACTTTTTCTCAGATACCTAAAGGTACGCTTTCTGTTGAAAAACATTCACGATATTTTAGGTATTTGTTACGCAGTGATGGCCGTGACACAGCTGCCAGCTTCCTGCTCGCAGGAGTACCATGGAGACACAGTTCTGAATTTTATATTTTTTACATCACAAGATCCAACTCGAGAACACACAGGAAACTGCTGCGGGTGTTGGGAGATTTACAGCTTACAGAAAGAGACACAGCAAAGAGGGTAGATACGATTATTTCTGCGGAAGTTAATACTTTCCTGTCTTCAGAGCAGGAAAGTGGGGCAACACACATTTTCTCTGTGAGACTCACTAATAAATGAACATTTGAAAATGGTACCTAAACCTCACAAAGACCCAACAAAGAAAGAATTTCAGGACAAACTCCCTTATGAACATTGATGCAAAAATACTCAATAAAATACTTGCAAAACGAATACAAGAACACATCAGAAATATCATCCACTATAACCAAATAGGCTTCATCCCAGGCATGCAGGCATGGTTCAATATATGGAAATTCATCAGTGTGATCCACCATACAAACTGAAAGAAAAATAACCACATGATAACCTTCTTAGATGCTGAAAAAGCATTTGACAAAATCCAACACCCATTCATGTTTAAAGTATTGGAGAGATCCGGGATAAAAGGCACATATCTAAACATAGTAAAGGCGATATACAGCAAGCCTATAGCCAACATCAAACTGAACGGAGAGAAACTTAAAGCAATCCTACTGAAATCAGGGACAAGTCAAGGCTGCCCACTGTCTTCATATCTCTTCAACATAGTTCTTGAAGTCCTTGCTAGAGCAATAAGACAATTAAAGGAGATCAAGGGGATACAAATTGGAACGGAAGAAGTCAAATTATCACTATTTGCAGATGATATGATAATATACCTGAGTGACCCCAAAAACTCCACCAGGGAAGTAACTCCTTCAGCTCATAAACACCTTCAGCAAAGTGGCTAGATACAAAATTAAGTGAAAAAAAAATCAGTAGCCCCCCTATATACAAAAGACAAAAGGGCTGAGAAAGAAATCAGGGTAACAACACCCTTCACAATAGTCACAAAGGACATAAAGTACCTTGGTGTGATCATAACCAAGCAAGTCAAAGACTTGTATAAAAAAATTTCAAGTCTTTGAAGAATTAGAAGAAGATATCAGAAGATAGATCTCCCATGCTCATGGCTTGGCAGGATTAACACAGTAAAAATGGTCATCTTACCAAAAGCAGTCTACAGATTCAATGAAATTCCTATCAAATTAGCAATACAATTCTATACAGAACGTGAAAGAAAAATTCTCAACTTCATATGTAATAATAAGAAACCCAGAATTGCTAAAACAATCCTCTATAATAAAAGATCTTCTGGAGGTATCTCCATCCCTGATTCCAAGCTGTATTATAGAACAATAGTAATAGTATTATAGAACATGGTACTGGCATAGAAACAGAATGCTGGATCAAGGGAACCAAATAGAAGATCCAGAAATAAACCCACACACTTATAGAACCTGATCTTTGACAAAGATGCCAAAACCATACAATGGAAAAAAAGATAGCATCTTCAACAAATGGTTCTGGTCTAACTGGATGTCTACATGTAAAAACTGCAAATACATCCAAATCACACTGCAGAAAAAAGTCCAAGTGGATCAAAAACCTTAATATAATACCAGACACATTAAACCTGTTAGAAGTAAAAGCATGGAAAAGCCTGGAACTCATTGGCACAAAAGACAACCTCCTGAACAGAACATCAACAGCACGGGCTCTAAAAGTAACAATCAATAAATGGGATCTCATGAAACTGAAAAGCTTCTGTAAAGCAAAGGACACTGTCGTCAAAACAAAATGACAGCCTACAGATTGGGAAAGGATCTTCACCAAACCTATATCTGACTGAGTGCTAATATTCAATATATATATATATAAAGAACTAAAGAAGTTAAACAGCAACAAATCAAGTAACCTCCCCTATCAGTGGACTTGGGGAGGGGCATGCTTGAAGAAGGGGAAGGGAAGTTGGGATTAGGAGGGGAGGTGGGAGGGGTTTATGGGGGGATAGAAAGTAAATAAAGTGTAATTAATAAAAGTTAAAAAAAGTAATCCAATTAAAAATGGGGTACGGAACTAAAAAGAGTATTCTCAATAGAGGAATATCAATGGCAGAGAAACACTTGAAGAAATGTTCAACATCCTTAGTGATCAGGGAAATGCAAATCAGAATGACCCTGAGATTTCACCTTACACCCATCAGAATTGCTTAGATCAAAAATTCAAGTGACAACATATGCTGGAGAGGATGTGAAGAAAGGGGAACCCTCCACCACTGCTGGTAGGAATGTAAACTTGTACAACTACTTTGGAAATCAATCTGGTGCTTTCTCAGACAATTAAGGATAGTGCTTCATCAAGATCCAACTATACCACTCATAGGCATACATCCAAAAGATGCTCAAGTATACAACAAGGAGATCTGCTCAACCATGATTGTAGCAGCTTTATTTGTAATAGCCAGAATCTGGAAATAGCCCAGTTACCCCTGAGTTGAGGAATGGATACAGAAATTGTGGTACATATACACAATGCAATATTAGTCAGCAATAAAAAACAAGGAAATCATGATATTTGCAGGTAAATGGTGGGAACTGGTAAAGATCATCCTGAGTGAGGTATCTCAGAAGCAGAAAGACACACAGGACATATACTTACTCATAAGTGGATATTAGACATGTAATATAGGTTAAACATACTAAAATCTGTACACCTAAGCAAGTTAATCACAAAGGAAGACTCTGACTAAGATGCTCAATCCCCATTCAGAAAGGCAAAGAGGCGAATAGACATCTGAGGAGGGAGAAAACAGGGAACAGGACAGGAGCCTACCACAGAGGGCCTCTGAAAGGCTGTACCCTGCAGGGTATGGAGGTAGATGCTGAAACTCAGCCAAACTTTTGGCAGAGTGCAAGGAATCTTATGAAAGAAGTGGGAGATAGTAAGACTGGAGAGGACAAGAGCAACAGATCCAAAATGTCTTTTCTGAGACTGATACTCCAGCCAAGGAGCACTCGTGGAGATGGCTTGGAACCCCTGCACAGAGGTAGCCCATGGCAGTTCAGTGTCCAAGTGGGTTCCATAGTAATGGGGACAGGGACTGTCTTGACAGGAACTGATTGACTTGCTCTTTGATCACCTCCCCCTGTGGGGGGGAGCAGCTTTGCTAGGCCACAGAAGAAGGCAATCCAGCCACTCCTGATGAGACCTGATAGACTAGGATCAGAGGGAAGTGGAGGTGGACTTCCCTTTATCAGTGTACTGGGGGAGGACCACACCTGGCAAAGAGGCAGGAAGGATGGGATTGGGAGGGGAAGAGTGAGAGAGCTACAGGGGGGATACAAAGTGAATAAACTGTAATTAATAAGAAAAAAAATTGTTAAAAAATAAAAATAGTTAAGAAAAGGAAACTGTATATAATGTGCATTACAAAGTAACATCCCTCAAACCTATTTTCGTATAATACAAACTATTTTTGTAGATAGTATAACAAATTCCTATTAATTTCTCTACGTGCACACGGTATATACTCACTCATATAGACATATAATATAAGATAAACCTACTAAAATCTGTACACCTAAAGAAACTAATCAAGAGGGAGGACTCTTGCTAAAATTCTCAATTCCTATCCAGAAAAGCAAAGAGGATGGACATCAGAAGAAGGAGAAAAGAGGGAACAAGTCAGGAGACTGACACAGAGGACCTTTGAAAGGCTCTGCCTTGCAGACTATCAAAGCAGATGCTAAGAATTATGGCCAACCTTTGGACAGAGTGCAGGGAATCTTAGGAAAGAAGTGGGAAACAGTAAGATCTGGAGAGGACAGGAACTCCACAAGGAGAGCAACAGAACCAAAAAATCTGAGCACAGGGGTCTTTCCTGAGACTGATATGCCAACCAAGGACCATGCATGGTGATAACCTAAGACCCCTGCACAGATGTAGTCCATGGACGTTCACTATCCAAGTGGGTTCCATTTTAATAGGAACAGGGAGTGTCTCTGACATGAACTGATTGGCCTGCTCTCTAATTACCTTCCTCTGAGGGGGGAGCAGCATTACCAGGCTTCAGAAGAAGACAAAGCAGCCACTCCTGATGAGACCTAATTGACTAGGATCAGAAGGAAGGAAATGAAGACCTCCCCTATCAGTGGACTTGGGGAGGGGCAAGCATGCAGAAGGTGGAGGAAGGGTGGGATTGGGATGGGAGGAGGGAGGGAACCACAGGGGGATACAAAGTGAATAAAGTGTAATTAATAAAGAATTTTTAAAATATATGTGTATTCTTGTTTTTGCATGTATTTGTTTTTGTGTAATTTCTGTGTACAACCCATGGAGGTGAAAAGAGGGCACTGAGTCCTAGGGACTGGAGTTGGTAATTTGGGGATGAGTTATTCTGTTTGGTTTAGCCTAAGAAGCACTTCCTTGGGGCTGTCTCAGCTGGAGTGTCAACTGCTGTACAGACTGATGTTCTGAGTCCAATACCTGGGACCTACATGGTGGAAAGAGAGGGCTGATGTCCTTATGTCTTTCTTATGTGCACCTTTCAATAAATAAATAACTATAATAATTTTTAAAAGGTGGAAACACTTTCTTGTTTTAATTACATGCAATTTAAAAGGTAATCTTAAATATTTGCCACACCAAAACTGGACTGTTTAGGTTGATATCCTTGATCCAGGTGTTGGACTGTGGAAAGTCAATGGTTATTATGTAATTTATTGAACAGTTTGTCTTACTGAAGCTGCTGTCCTATAGACTTCTAATATACATGGGTTTAATGTTAGCTTTTCTGTATTGTGTTTGAAAC